TGAGCTTATAGCATTTCTAAAAATAAAATGGGAAAATTTCCTCCTCCCTTCCGAAAAGGGAAATGCCCAGGACTTACGTAACATGCTGTCTATGGTTTCCTCTGGCCCCCAACACAGAATAACTGCTCTGCTAACATTTTAAGAAATAATAAATATTTTCTGAATACTGTTTTGCTGTAGAAGATAAAGAAAAAGAAGATAAAGAAAAATGACCTCTTGCGTGTTTAGGTTTGAAAAAATATTTTTTTTCCTGGATGTGCCCACAAATGAGGACATGAGGCTGGTCAATCAGGTGCTAATGATCAGATGAGAACAGGAGTGGCTTTTGGGAGCAGAAAAACTTCCGAAATTGAATCACTTTGCAGATCTTGTGCCTTTTCAGAGCAACAGCAAAACATCACTTTCACTTGATCAGTGTCTTGGTGGGAATTTTCTTCCAGAATAGCCCTTCTAGAGTAACATGTATAAAATAAACATTGTTATGCAAGTGCTATTTATAAAAAAGCCCCTTTAAAATAACTGATTGAAGCAGGCAATTGGACACGAACCGTAAGATAAATATAATGCACAGGCCTCAGGAACTTCAGTGCAACTCCAATATAATAATTATTAATACACTGCATTTATAGTTTGGCTTTTTTTCCTGTGGGGGGGGGAGGTGAGTTACAGTGCTCCATCTTATCTTCAGAACAACCCTGTGAGGTAGGTTTGGCTGAGAGAGGGAATGACTGGCCCAAGAGCAGCTAGTGAGCCTTTTGACCGAGCAGGGACTAGAATCCAGATCTCTCTGGTCCGCAAGAGGTTTCCTAAGCTCTGATTGGATGCTGCCTGCTGAATCCAGACAGCATAGCCTTGGATGCCATGTTTCTGTTTTTCTACAGATCATGTTGCGCCCTGTTTCCTGAAAACAGCTGACTTTCCTTTCACTGCAACTGCTGAAAAAGGCTACTGAGCAATTGCTAGCTCACATCTCTCAAAGCCCTGTAAGTCTTGTAAGATTTATTTTTATGTAAAACACCAGTGAAGAGCAATGAATGGTGCTTAGTTGTAGGAGCTGAGCCCAGCACTTCTACAGAAGCATCTCAAACAGATGTGTGGTTTAATTCTCACTCAGGTGAGGAGAGAAGCAAACACCTCCTGCCTGTTAAGAGAGCAACCCTGGGTCCTGTTCTACAGCTCAGACATTTCTGAGCTCGGATGTGCGGGACAGTAAGCAGTGAAGGAATGTTGCAGGGCTTGTGTGGGTGCATAAATGCCACTATGGGCATCTCAGCTTCTTAACATGCAAACACTCTGCACCGACTGCCTCGCAGTTCAACAGTTTATTCAGGATATAAAAACTTCGGAAACTTAAGATAACCCCCCCCCCCAATTTAAACTCCTAAGACTGCAATCTTTGATACCAGTAAATGATCAGAAATACCCTGTCTATTAAGACATTGCAAATGGATGCATTTGCTTTCTTTGTTTGCATCTGCGTGGCTGTATTTGGATGTGATGCGATTGCGATTTGCTGGTGGCTGTGCCTTTTTTTTTAATCTGTGCTTGTTGTAAACCATCCCAAGGTGCTAGTAATGGGGCGGTCTACAAAAATTTTAAATAAATAAATGTTGAATGGAGGATGTTTCGGTGCATTCTTTACTCATTCTCGTTTGAGTGAAGCTGCAGCTTCAGCCGTCCCCACTGCGCTCTTTGTCTGAAGGGCCTCAGGAGTAACCCCAGGCTCCCCAGACAGTATCCAAGGGGGCATGAGTGCATTCGGGGCAGCCCTCCAACTGCAGAGCTGGGAATTGGAGTTCCACCCCCACACATGCAGTGAAAAGAATGACCCTCATTGCATACCCAACCTTTCTGTGAGCTCCACAGAAAGCCCCCAAGCTATGGGGCAGCATACAAGCATAATAAACAAACACACAAACAAATGTACTAAGCACATTTTAGGATTTATTCTTAAGTGACAAACAGTTTAGAATAAAAAATGAAAACAAATTGCACCTTTTCATTCAGCTTGAAAAATTCAAAAGCTTTAAAATTAGAATACATTATTTATTATTATAAGGCCATTTATCAGAAGGAAAATATAGGTACTACACATTTTTGAAAGCTTTAGAAAACTTAGGTTTACATGGTGCTTTTCATTTTGCTTGGCTTACAAAAGCTGCCATATGTAGTTCTCAAACAATTGTGTACCCATAATTTAAGTTACCCCTACTTTAAAAGTTGTATTATTCAAAGGCAAGTGATCAAACACCTGAAAAACACCACTGAAAATATAGCTATCTCACCAAGATAGTTATCCTGGTATGCGAATTATTGACAGAGCTGTAAGAATGTCTAAAACTCACTGACTTCTTTTAGTAATGATAATGGAAAGTACTTTAACTGTTCAGTGAATAGTCGGTACATGCCTTTATTTTGCATTTCAGCTATTATAGGAACTCTGTTTCTCAATAAGTGTCCAGTTGATCATGGAAAAATACACTGAGTTATTCTGGATAAATTAAACTCCATGCACGCAAAGGCTGAGAACATTAGGGTGCAATGCAATGTCCTCCAGCCAATGCAAGGCATGTGGTGTGTCGGAAGCTCCCTCCTCTGCCCACACCGTGCTCCGCATTTCATCTAAGCAGCCATTTTTGACCATCTAGAGCAGCCTTCCCCAACCTTCAGAGGCACTTGGACTGCAAGTCCCAGAATTCCCATCCAGCGGAGCCACTGACTGGGAATTCTGGGTGCTGCAGTCCAAATGTGTCTGGAAGGCACCAGGTTGGGGCAGCCTGACCCAGAGGAAGCTCCACAGAGAGCAAGGGAAGAAGGCTAGGGTGCTGTTCGGACATGGAGCCAGCCGTTGGCACCGGCTTCCGCCCCTCCTTGTGCAACGGGTGGGCACACCCCTTCGGCCCTCTCCAAGACTGCCCTCTGCAGGAGCTCAGGCACAGGACTCTGAATAGCCAGCTGCCCCGCAGACCCTCCAGTCGCCCTTGCACGACTGCCTTGGCCATGCTCCAACAGCGCTATCTACCACTCCCCTGGTTCAAAGTGCAGCAGGCAGCAGGGCAAGCAGCCTGCTGATTTATACAGCCACTCAGAAACAGGCTTTCTGCACAAGTGCAGGTGACAAAGGACAATCATGGCTTTCATTTTTTGAAAAGCTATTGCATCGACCCTTAAATGCCAGGGACAAGCTGCCGTTAGCCTAAATGAGAGCAGGGCCACCCGATTTTTTAAGGCTTGCAGTCACACTCTTCAAATTGCAAAACAAGTGAGGCCTGTTGATGTCTAAAAGTAGATGAGCCCATGCGCCTTGCATCAGGACCAGAGGAGGTACGATTCAGGGGATCAGCAACCGGGCCGTCTAGCTGATGTTACTGATACACCTGCTGCAATGAAAAGTAGTGGGAAAGTGCCTTAGAATCGGTGCACCATACACACAACCTAAGTTGCACTTCTGGGCCTCTTGGTTTCCTGAATTCATTTTAAAGAGCATTTTTAGAAGTCCACATCTGCCATAGAGAGAGCCACTTTGGGTTTTGTCCCCGAGGCCATCCAATGTAGCAAGACCCCAAGCAAGTTTGAACTTGGCAGCTCCTCCTCTATCCCCCCTTCTGCCCCACATCATGTGCAGAAGGCAACATACAAGCATTTTGGTTGGCTTTCATGTAACACCTGGAAGGGTCCCCAAAGGTGAATGTCTGAACAGTTTCTGGTCTGTTAAAGCACGCCTGAAAGGCAGCCCTGTTCTTAATCTTCTGCCCATCTGGCAACAGGCATTTCCTTGAAAGAAAACTTTGAAAGGCTCAGAATTAATCAAAGTTCAAGGAATTATGATTTCTGAAATGTGATTAGTCAACAGTCAGAATGATAGGAAAGAGGTTTTCAGCCACCTTTTGTCCTCAAAAAATATTAATTGTCCTAAAGGATATTCTATGAATTTTTCCACACAAGCCATTCATTGTGCATTCATGAGTCGATACAGCTGCCCAGAGGGTCCTGAGGCACCTTGATGCTTCAGTTTGGTTTTTTTAAGAGCACTTTCTCAAGGGTTAGGGAAGGGGGAAATGGGGTATTGTTTCTGGAAGTGAAAGGTAAGGAATTTTCCTCCTTCAATTGTGATATTCCACTATGGAATGGCACTAGAAGTTATGCTGGAGAAAGGCAGGGAAAGAAAAGAGCTTTGTGCAGGGTCTGAATATCAATTCTGCAATGAAACCAGAAGTAGACACTGTAATTCACAGCTTTACGTAGAAAAGCTCTGTGTGCGCCTATTCAGTTCAAAGGCATGTTTACTTTCATTCTCACTTGCTGTATTTGCAGAGGAGGAAAAAATAAAGTATCTACCATCCTAGAACCAAAGGCAGATAACAATCGTGAAGCCCACCAAAGCTTTTGAAATGAAATATTAAACCGCAGAAGATGGTTCCCTGGCAAACATCACCAGTTTGGTTAGTTCACACTTTGCTGCCTGCCGCCTCCAGTGCAAATTTACTGCAAATTGCCTCCTGCGTGAGGACACAAAATAATTTGCCAGACAATACAACCATACAGAATTAATGTGAAATAAAAGACTCCTTAAAACTCTACAGGACTGTAAAGATCAGGTGGTTTCACCTGGTTGCGATTCTGCAGCAGCTCAAATCAAAGCAGGGAAGTCCAGTCTCCCTTCTTAGTACGAAAATGTCACAGAACTATTTCCAGAAAGATCGTTTCTTCAGTAGAAGAGGCCCTGAGTCCAGAAAGATTAAGCCACATAAGAACAGCCCATTTTCTTAATTAGCAACAGGTTCTTTGTGGGGCAGTTCTGCAAGGGGGCAGAACCCCCCCCCCCCCCCGCCCAGTTCTTGGCTGCCACAGCTCTCACATGAATTGTGCTCCCATAGGAGCTCCCAAGATACTGGTAGCAAAGATGACATTACAAACTAATTCTGCAAACCTGTGGGAAAACCCAGCCCGTCTCCTTCTATGGCCTCCCCCGCGCACATCGGCTTCCACCGCTTGTGTGGCTAATCTTCCTCATTCAGATGCCGGTATTTTATATGCACCACCAACATGACAATGCCCGTGACAACACAAACAGAACCAAAGACCAGGTAGGCGATGCCCAGGAAGGGGTTCTTTCCACCCATCCAGGACAGCGTGCTGAAGATGACCTTCTTGCCGCCGTGGAAAGAAAGGACCGGGTAATTGTACGTGATGTTGAGGCAGTACGTGCCCTGTGGCAGCCCCATCACGGCACTCCCATTGCCCACGCGGGCGTAGAGCTTGCGGAAGGTGGGCAAGGCGGCGATGCGCATCCACACGATGAAGGCCTCGTTGACAAAGCCAGTGTTGTTGGGGTTGCCCTTGTCCAGTTCGAAGACCTGGACGTGCCAGAATGGGGGCTTGGCGGTGCCCAAGAAGGCCTGCGCCAGGCTGCCGTTGACCGGCTCCGGGTTCCGGAACTTGACGTTGGTGTCGGTCCACCAGGAAATGCCCCTCTTGTCCAGGGAGATGGCTTCCTGGGAGCCGTTCTCCAGCTGGCGGTAGAGCTCAAAGGTGTCGTTGAAGAGGCTGTTGGCCACGGAGCCGCAGGGCGCGATGGGGATCCCCTGGGCGGTCGTGCGGTAAGGCTGGCACTCCTGGATGGGATGGCGCAGGGCCCAGGCCTCCCCGCTCAGCTGCGCGTCGTCGCGGGACACGCTGTAGCGCCGGTTGTTCTGGAAGTAGTTGGAGAGCTGGTAGTAGAGGCAGACGGGTGCGGGGAAGTCGGCGGGCAGCTCGAAGCACGCGGTGCACCAGCAGGACGCGAGGCCGTCGCTCGTCAGGTTGGCGCAGTGCGAACAGTTGGAGTTGCGCAGCGCGCCCGTGTAGTCCAGCTCCACCTCCTCGATCTGCTCCGAGGAGAAGTGCAGGCCCAGCCCGATGGCCACGAAGGCCAGGCCCAGGCAGAAGAAGAGCGGCAGCACGGTGCCCGCCGACAGCAGCGGCTGCCAGGCGGGCAGGCGCTGCTGCGTGAAGGCCGTGTTGTCCGGCTTGTTCTGCGCCGCGCCGGGGCCGAAGGCGTCGGGCGCCTGGGCGCGGCTGACGTTGTAAGAGGCGGAGGCCATCTCGGTCCCGGGCGCCGCGGCCCGGGGCGGGCTGGCCGGCGCGAGGGTCAGGGGCGCTCGCACGCGGGCACGCGTGGGCCGGGGGCTCGGCGTGCCGTCGGGCCGCTCTCCCGCTGCCCGGGCCCGGCGCCGCCGCTCACCTCCGGAAACGCCCGCAGGTGCGCGCGGGCGCGGCCGGGCGCGCGCCTTCCTCGCTCCCCGCCCGGGCACGGCCCGCCCGGCGCAGGTGCGGGAGAGGCGGGCGAGGACGGCCCTTCGCGGCGCTGGGCGCAGCCGGGGGCGGGCCACGCTCGGCCTCTCGCAGCCCAGGTAGGAGCGGCTCCGCGCTGCCTGGGGAGGGCGCCGGCCAGGGGCGCGCCGGAGACACCTGCCCGGGGAGAGGTGCTCGGGGCCGCCGGTCGCACTGTCACCTGCGCCGCCCGAGGCGCTGGCGCAGCCGCAGGTGAGGAGGCCGCGGGACGTCCCGCCTCCACGCCGCCTCTCGGGCCCCGCAGTGCCGGGCAGGAGAGCGCCGAGCGCGCGCGCCTCTCCGGCCCTTTAATGCGTTGCCCTTGCATGCGAACTTGCCTCCTGCGGGGACCCCGGGCGAGGGCTCCTTTGCCCTGGCCGCCACCTGCGAGGTGGTTGGGCCGTGGCTCACGACTGGCCCAACGCCACCCGGAACCCCTGTGCCACCGTGGCGCCCCAAGAGCCGGAGAAGCGCCCGCCGGCCCGCCCGCTTCGCTCGGTGGCAGCCCGGCTGTCCGCAGGATCCCGCAGCAGGAGGGGCGCAAGACCCTCACCCGCCCAGGCTCCGCAGTAACTGGGCTAAGCAGGCCCGCCACCTCTACCTGGCTGGTTTATTGTTTCTTTCAATGATTGCTGTGTGTGCTACAACCCAAGTAAGCACACCTCACAAAGACGAGTTATTTATTGATTTATTTTGCATTTTAGGGACTCAGTATTTCCTGTTCATTTAAAAACTCCCCCTCTGAGCTCATGCCTTCGGAAGAGCTCATGCCATGGCCAGAAACCTAGATCATTGTCTCAAATATTCTTAAGGATCTGCCCTTGGAAAGAAATAAGGCTTCGGTTAGGGTGCAGGTTCAGGTTTTAGATAGGAAATCTGTTAGAAATGGAATAAATCGCTGGAAAAATCCTGTCGTGTGAATGGGGAACATTGTGCTGCCCCAAACCTGTTTGATGTATTTATGGCAAAATGCCCATGAACCTCAGTTTATGTATTGTTTAAGTCAGGGGCCCTCAAACTTTTTCAAAAGGGGGCCAGTTCACTGTCCCTCAGACTGTTTGGGGGGGGGGGGCTACAGTTTGGAAAAAAAAATGAACGAATTCTTATGCACACTGCACATTTAAAAATAGTTAAAATTAATTTAAAAATAATATTTTAAAAAATAATTAAAAATGTTTGCTCGCTTGCTTGGAGAAGGCTGTGGCGGAGGTGCGAGAGCCCTGCAGTTTTTTCTGTGTAAGCTGCTCTGCCTCAGACTGTCCACCCTGGGCTTGGTGAGGTGGTGGCCGTGGCTTCCTCGGAGAAGGCCTGCAGCCCGGGGACATGGCTCACATAACTACAAATAGATTTAAAAAGTCATCTTTTTCTTACCTTCAATCCTTTTTTAGTTCCTTCGTCTTCGTCACTCTCTTCTGCCCTTCTCTCTTGTTTTCCCCTCCGTATTCCCACTCTGTATATTGGGGGGGGGGGCAGTGCACACACAGTTGAGCTGTTGCAATTTGGCCCATGCCTGGGCAGTTTCAAAAACGCCTGTGCTGGCTCAGAGGTTTTGGACTCGCTCAGAAAGCATTTTCTCTGAGTGAGTCCAAAACCTCTGAGGCGGGTTTGAGGACCCATGATTTAAGTATTTGTTCTTACCATACCCTGCCTTTCCTTTGCAGAGCTCAAGGTATATAGCAGCCAAGATAAAAACCATAAATTAACCATTTTAATGATTACTTGTAACATTAAAACACACAGCATTGAGCCAGCAGCAAAAAAAATTGGAACCAGTGACAATATTTTAGAATATTTTAATATAAAAAATAACAATTTTTGTTTAGAATAGGAAAGGACTTGCAGTGCAAATCTGGGCCTAGTCAGAAGAAATGGATTCTTTTCATCAAGACTAGTTCTAGCAAAGGCGTTTGTTCGGTGCCACGCGGATGTGTTGAATCCAATTCCGGTTAGCAGCCAATTGGCATGCTGGTTGTGGTGATGGGACTTGCAGTCCAGCATATCCTGAAAGAGCCTGTTTGAGGGAGATGGACGTTCACACCCACATTCCACATTCACAGCAAATTCTTTTTTCTCCGTAGAAAGCAGCATTCCCAGATAGCACACCCAAATGTTTCCATTCGCTGCTGCCAGAATGTAAGGACTCATTGTTTTCTTGCTTTCCCTTTTCTTTTCGATGCTCTTTTCTTTGCTTTTGTATAAAAGTGAAACAAGGCTATTTCCAAACTGTATGTGGCAATCTGGATGGATTCCAAGTGAATTAGTTCATTCGCTCATTCTGGATTAATTTGCAGCAATGAGTGAATGAAAGGTCTTTAAAAAGTGAAAGCATTTGGGACTTTTGCTGTGAACCCTTTTCCTGTAGCTGTAAAAGGTTTTCCTTCTTCAAAATTACATGATTGTGGGGAAAGGGGAAATTTAGTATCTATGCAGAAATTTTGGTTTCATTTTTAATTAGTTCATAGAATGCATTCTTACTGAGATGATTGGAATATTGATATTATTTGAAATATATCATTGGAATGCTTACTGTATTTTATTATATATAGAAATGCTTACTGTGTTATAGTATAGCTACTGTTTGTTTATTTTGAATATTTTAACCTACCTTGAAATTTGACATATGATTGCGATTGGATCTATCCTGGGCTTGCATGTCTTCAGAAATAGAGTTGAGTATGGTTGAGTGTGTGTTGTCATTGAATCATGGGTTGTTGTTGAAACATGGGTTATTGAGTTGCAAGAACTTAACTGCACTCACAGTCCATGGGTTAGTAGCCCAAACCATCCATGAAGAGACCCCATGTTTTGGCTGGGTTGCGAACTGTGGGTGGTTCCCCATGGGTTGTTATCTGAGCTGGGGTCAGAGAACGTGGCAGCCCGTGGTTCAACAGCTACCCACAGTTCAGAAACCATCTTTCCTGGACAGCCTGAAGGTGGGTTGTCTGAACCTAGTCCATGTGTGAGTGTGTGAGATCCACTTCGGGATGTCCTTCTGCCCTTTTTCTCCTGGTGATCATTGCTCAAGCTGAAATTTTGCCCTTAAAGCAAATCCGATTGATTGATTGATTGATTGATTGATTGAGTGATTTAAAATGTTTATATTCCATCCCAATACTAAGAGTCTCTGGACAGTTTACGGAAAACAGAAAACCAAAAACAAATCAATCATAACAACAACAACCACGCACAACACACTGCAATATTAGCTGAGGGGTGAAACACCCTTCTCTTCCTACACGCCATGGTCCTGATTCAAACCCTCGCCCTCTTTGCGAATCTACTGTGCAGTGTACACCCAGCCACGAACTCCCGAGTTAAGAACAACCCCTACTTATGAACCGGCCGACCTGGACGTCCCACCTCATCCCTGAGCGGCAACGGGATGCCTGTGGGTGGCAGGCACTGGGTGGCAAGAGAGGAAGCAAGGACGATGGAAGGGACAATTAGGGAGGGGAGGGGAGGGGAGGGGAGGGAAAAAGCAGCAAGTGGGAAAACAGACCTAATTCTGCACTGTGTTCCTGAAGAACTAGAGCAGGGCTCCTCGGGCCTTTTCCCCAGGGGACCAGCTGAAAGGTGCTGGTGCTGGTGCTGGCCATGGGCCGGAAAGGCGGTGCTGGCTGGGCACACAGGCCGGTGCGGGGGTGGTGAACGGGGTGGGCAGGCGGCGTGGGGGGGGCAAGGCAGGGGTGGGCACACGAAGCAGCAGCTCGGTCGCTTGAGGATCGAGTTCTCCAAGCGAGTCCAAAACCATCTCCGAGTGAGCGAGCCGCTGCCTCCCCGCGTGGGGGGCGAGGTGGGGGGCGGCGGGCGCACGTGGTGTGCGCACCCTTGCGCGGCGCTTTGGGAGCCTCTGAGGCGGGCTGGGTAAATGGTTTCACTTTAGTTTTACTTACTGTTGACCTGGAATGTTTTGTCAATTGTTATGTTTTATTGAGTGTAAACTGTTCAGAGAACTGGCACGGATGGGTAATGGTATACAAAAATACATATAAATAAATAAATGCAGGCGATGCATCGAAGAAAAGGAAAACATCGCAATCAGAACTGAAGCGGAAATAATACAGTGGTCAGAGAAAGGGGGGATGCCCTGGGCTGTTGGGAAAGCGTTAGGCTCTTGTCAGTCAACAGCTGAATTCTTTCTTCTCTCTCTCTTCTGTACCTGAGGTTACTCTATTGTTACTGTATTACCATTATTAAAATGCTGCGTTGTGTTTTCGGTGATTTTGTGTATATGGGAGTTTCTGAAGTGTTTTATATGCATTTATAGACGTGATCCAACTTACATACAATTCCATGTAAGGACAATCTGGGAGTGGCACTGGTTCTAACCTCAGGGACTGGGTCTACGAGGATGTTCTTCTCTGGGTCTTAATGTGTTGCCGGCTGCAAGAATCTGCATTGTCCCAGCACAGGAGAATGCCGGCCAGCCTTCATCGTCAGTATGTTGACGAGACCCAGCCCTGTGCTTCATTGCTTTTCCCTGATCCGAGCCCAGTCATGGGCTCCCTAGAAGCATCTAGGTGTGTTTTCCCTGAGCTGCAGCTGCACGAGCAAGCAGCGCTTCCGCGTGCTGGTAACCTCCCATGTGCAGCGATGCGCTTGGTATGACCTTCCCTGGAAGGCGCCGGGTGAGTGGGAGGGAATTGGATAACAGGTGCTTAGCCAGCCTTGCCTTCCTTTTGGCACAGCTTCTCTCCTGGGCCAGTCCTGGCATTTGCGAATGCATCATGGTGGGTAGCATGGAACTGCATGCATTGAATATCTATTTTTA